CAGGACCAGGACTGGACACCCTGCAGACCCCCCCCCCCCCCCAGGACCAGGACTGGACACCCTGCAGCACCAGACCTGGACTTGGTGTCAAGGCAGACAGCAGAAACACAGACTATGAGCTTGGGCTTCGATCCTTTGATCAACACCTTCCAGTGTTGCAAATAAAATCATCCACAAGTTGCATGTGCACAGCTGCCGCTGGGAGAGGCCCATTTCCACACACTGATCGCTTCCTCCTTCAGACTCACCCGAGGGATTTTGCAAGCAGGCCATACAACACTGGCAGGCACAGTCCTGACAGGAGCCCTGTGACAGTCCCACTGCTGTACAGAGGCATGAGTGTGCGCTGTGCTTACACCTTCCAGCCTGGACTCAACAGATCTCAGGAGCTCAGCTAAACAGGACATGGTCATTACTGGGAAGAGGGATGTCTGGTAAAAACCAGGTGGCTGCTGTAACTGGCAATGGCGAACCAGAAGGGGTATTCTTCCATCTCACTCAGAATTCCCAAATCAAATAACTCTCCCTTATAAGAAACTGCCCTGTGACTCAGGCTCCTTTCCTCTTGAAGAACGTTAAGCTTTGAAAGTTTTTTAACATGAGGTCCTGCACTCTCAAACTGAAATTTCACCCTTTTCAAGTAACCTAACACTCCTAGACATTTCCTTTGGGAATGTCAGTAAATATTTGTGTGTATATATACAATTTGAAGTCCTTTTTCCCCTTCCTAGTGCAACAGCCTTCTCTAAGTCAGCACTATGATTGAATGATAACAAGCAGGATCAATACTGCAATTAAGATACTCTTGCACTGCGACCCTGCAGCCTCGACAGAAAAGGCAATTTCAACAAAATACCGAGCAGAAAACAGAGGAGGCACAAACCACTCCTGGTGCTACACTGGCTGGGTGCATCATTGCAGAGTCAGATGCTTGACATTTATAACAGAGGAGTGGAACCACTGTGGGCCAAGTACAGTTAGATGGGGGAGGACATGGAAGGTATTCATTGTGATTTGGCAGGGCTTTCTAACCCCAGATGGGAATTTGGCACTGCACTGGAACACACTGATGTCGCGCCTTTCAAATGGCGAAACGGGATAATGAATCCAAGTATTGAAGAGAAAAGCGCAGGAGGGGAAGGAAGAGATATAAAGACTCCAAGGTCAGAGACTCACCCTCCATCATGTGTGTCTTATATTTAAAGTCAAACTCATCCTGCTGGTCCTCAAGTGACTTCACATGGTGTTCCATCTCCTAGACACACACGCACAACACACATGGGAGAGAGGTCATCAGTAATACAGCCTGTCGTGACCTCCCTGAGGCGGGACGAGGAAGGCCACTTTCCATAACCAAGATGTCAAGGGAAGAGCACACAGGGAGTAGTCACGGAGACCCCGAGAAACACACTGGTTAGGAACAGAACGCTTTGTACTGCAAGTAACTGAACAAAGCTGGACAGAGACTGGACAGGAGGGATCAGGGCCTGGTGAACACTGAGTATTAATCCCCTTGGCAGGAATCACAAATTTGGAACTGGGTGAGGAACAAGCCTTTAGCAGTGGCTACATGGAGTCCAGACTGGAAGCATAGAGCAAAAGTTGGGTTCGAAGATACAAGTCCTGTTTATCCCAGGGATGCCAAGACAGGAGCACTTTAGAGAAGCCAGTAAGATTCAGCCAGCTTGAGGGAGACCAGGGCACCTAGAGAAGATGCACGCAAACCGGGGGTGAATATGCAAACTCCACACAAGGCTTTCAAGTCTGGAATTTGACCCCAGACTGTAGGGCCGTGTGGCAAACACAGAAACAGCCACGTCACCAATATCCTGTTTGCCCTGCTGTAATCCTTTGCTCTGGAAGTCAGCCAGAATGTAAATAAAGAGTTCCAGTACCAGATCTGTGATCTGTTAGTACCCTGCGGCTCCTTAACACAAGAGCGTCCAGTGTTTTAGGATATTTAGAATCCTTTTTCCTAGTTGACCCTGGCCAGCAACCCGCCAACAGTACAGCGTCCACATGCTTCCTTTGGAAAAACGCCAAGGTCCTGCCCCCTCAGACTGTGGGTTAATTGTGCATCTGCTGGCATCTCTGTCAATGGTAAACGGAGTGAATGATTTCTCCCAGCACTCGCCAGCCTTGTACAGCTGACCAAGGAGACTGGAGGGAGGGGAACTTGCTCAAGGATGGGCGTTAGCAGTGAGGTTTCTCTGCAAGTCAGTGGGGATGCTATACCAGGAACCTCCTAGTAACACGTTCTCATGTTCTACATCTTAACCACTGGACCAGCAGGCCTCCCTCTGACTTCCAGAGGACACTGGGCCCTGCCCCCCAGAATTCCAGGGTCTTGTGACCCAACATCCCGGCAGCCCAGATGCGCACACAGTATCCACCATGTATGTATCCTCCATCCCGGCAGCCCAGATGTGCCACATGTATCCTGCATCCCGGCAGTCCACACTTTTTACAGCTCCTGCCACGTGCCTCTGCCAATGTTTCCGTCCCACTGCCATATCACGCACAGACCATCCCCCATTTCCGATTCCCACAGCGCCAGGCAGCAGCTCCTGGGCTGAACTGGAGCCTCGCTTCCAGTACGGATGTAGTCTGGCTAAACTACGGCCGTAAAAATAACTACAATTGCCCCCCCCCAACCCCCCATCTCCCCTGCAACACCAAGGAGAAAGAAACAGTGCAGGAGCTGGAGCAGGAGCTAAGCCAACACAGAAATCAGACACTGAGGTTGAAAGAGGAAAGACAGAACAGGCAGATGGGGACAGAGACGTGACAGGAAGTCATGGGCTTGCCTGCACTTTGCCACGGAGCTCCTCGATCTTCCTGTCCAGACACCTCTGGCTGTCCGTCTCCATAGGGTTCTGCTGGACCTGCAGCAGCTGCACCTGAGAGGAGAGACCGGGTCAAACTGGGTCACCGCGGCGGTGGGGGGGAGCCCAGAGGCCTTCTGCAAAACAGGAGCTTGACGATCCTTGAAAACCATGCGAACCCTTTTTTCTTCCTAAGACACTGACAACGTGTAGGACGCAGCCTGACACCATGTCTCAAACAGAAAAATGAAGGCTTTGCAATATCCCAGCACGGAAGGTTAAAAAATCCCATCCTGGATTGTGGATCACTCTAGATGCTTTATTATTTTTAATGCCCCAGCAGTACAGGTCTCGTATAGCCAATAGTTCACTGATTATTAGCCACTACCACCAACATTTACACTGTACGTTTTTTATGGAACAAGTAATAGGTTTATTTCATGCTAAAAATAAGAAAGAAAACAACATTTCGGCCGTGGAGCCTTCTTCAGATGTGAGCCACACACCTGCTCCACAGCCAAAACGTTGCGTTTTCTTTCTTCTTTTTTTCAGTCTGGAATAAACCTATTACTTGTTCCTTTGCAGCCTACGCATGCTGATGCAGCTACCCACCTGCACATTTTTTATTATTGTATATCGTTAAATCCCTATTGTATTGCATACTGGGAGGCACGGTCTTCACAAGACTCGCCTGCCATTTTTATTTACTGCTGTCCTCCCCTGTCTGCACACTGAGAGAACAAGTGTGATGAAGAATTGCATTGTTCCCGTTAAAAACGGCAAATCAACATCGAACATGAAGGCAGGTTCAAAACAAGCAAAGGATTTCTTGCACTGGAAACAAACTGATCCCTGAAACTAGAGGGAACTGAGGTTTATCTTAAACATGATGCACACCCTGCACATCTTCCTGTGTACAAAGCAAGACGCCAAAAGAATTTACAGGTCGCTGGAGTTCATGGTAGAGAAATGTTAGAAATAAAATGAATAGTTCCTGACTACAAACAACAGTTTGCAGTCATAACCTCTACTTACAGTACAACAAAGCAGCAGTCTGCTGTCGGAGAGAGAAACCCAACCCAAGGGAAAGAGCAAGCAGACATGAGCAGAAGAGAGAGGAGTACAACAGTGTACACTGTGAGGACAGGGCGTAGTCAGGAACAAAGCAAAGTTCAAAACCAAGTAAACACAGCAGGAAGACACCAAGGGGGCTCAAAAGGCAAAGCAGAGGATGAAGTAAAGTCAGGAATCCAAGAATCAGAGGTACCAGAGACAAAACACTCAGGAGGCTGCAAGCAAACTCTATATTAGAGCACAGGGTGCAGTCAGACCAGAGCTTCAATAACAACCACCACCAGAGACCAGCGTGGTCATAAACTGGCCCCAGGTGGCCCAGGTCTCCTGTCTAATTAAATACCCATGGCAACCGGCACTGACTGACAGGTGAGTGGAGGTGTGACTGGTGCCATGGCAATGCTAGCTCTCTAGCTGGGGACGAGCCTGAAACTTGCCTCCCAGAAATTCGGGGTGAGGGCTCGGCGTGGGGCTTCTGTGCTCACCGCAACGGCGATTCCAGACATCCATTCCTACTCGCCACTGCCACAAAGGAGAGAATCCTTTGCCCTAGGGGCATGGGAGTGGGCGCCCAGGGTGAGCATGGGCTTCAGTGCCACTCTGCCTTGAAAAGGCAGATCTCCGCCGTCTCCGTCATCAAACTGGACTCCAGCGGGATGAGATGACAGGCCACCCCCCACCCAACTTGAGGCCCAGGGCCAAGAACAACGAGTTTCCCGACACCTGAAATTAAACTCTGCCAAGCGAGAGGCGGAATCTGTCTCGCTGCAGGTGCTACATTCCTGCACAGACCAACTGTCCTCGCGTCAGACTTTTAAAAAATATATATTGCTGCATTATTACTCTTTGTCTTGCGAAGAAACAAAGAAATCCAAGACAGCTGGCAGACAACAAAACCACGTCACTGCCACAACTGTTGTGCAAGCCCTGGGAGTTAAACCTTTTCCCCAAGCGACCCCGTGTGTGAAGACAGAATTCTGCCTGCAGCAGGACCTCACTGCCAGCTAGCTAACACCATGCGTCTGCTTGATCAGCGAACCCATACGGCCAGAGCTGCGCTGATATGCCTGAAGAGCTCCTTTATCAGCAGCTAAAACCCGAGTTTCTCTCCCTTTTAGTGGTTCCACAGTTTAACCGTCACCACTCTGGACTCCAAATCCAGCGATCCGAGTTTCTCCCCTTTTTGTGTGGCTCACCATGATAAGCAGTCAGCACCCTGTAATCAGACTGTCCCAGTTCAGCTCAACACTCACCTGGAGCTACAGAGCAAAACTGTGACAGTCCCACAGAACAGAACCATCAGCGAGAGGCTACAGCGGGGCCCCTCTCTCCTCGGGACTCGAGCCACTCCAGGACTGAATGGGCATCGAGCCAGCAGAGCCTGGATTGGACAACACTACGACAGACCCCCATCAGCTGTTCCCTTATCCTGCTGCACAAGGGTTACTCTTCTACAGCTGTGGATGATTACAGCTCAATATTCAACATACTGACCTCCAGAATTCAGTTCTTATCCAAGCACATACTGATATCAAATATAACTCACCTATAGTACTCTTAACGTATAAATATCTGAATGTTGAGCATGCCTAATGAGACTGATTAATGAGTTTGTATAAACCGGTGGTATACAAAATGCATAATCCTTGTTTTTGTAACTCTTGATATCTGCTGTAGTATGATCACTCTCACGTAACAAGCTGCCGTTAGTATCTAGCCAGACATTCACTCTTATTTACCTTAAATGCTTCTATGTTCACGTTTTATGTATTAACAAATGTATAACATGTATTTTGAGTCTGCGTGCAGACTGCTTGTTCTTGTCGATTGAGTCCTGAAAACCAAGGTAAGCTCAGACTACATACTGTTACAAATAACACACAGTAAATTCACAACTCCTACAAGTGCGAAAGATTTTAAGTATCACTGCAAGTTGGCTTATGAAGAAACAAAAAAATTCAAGATTCTACTGGATGAAATCTCTGTGGACAGGTTAGCTACGAACTACTGAACAGCCTCTGGTCATTTACAACCTTATTCATTTCAGCACAGCTCTGTGTAATAAAAATGCCATAAAACACAGCACAATTACTGATTAACCAGGGGGCGCCCTGTCTTTTCTCTTATCGCCAGACCACTGGCACTGACCAGGGGGTCGAAGTTCACGATCTGAAACCAGCAAGACACCAGCCAGATGCCCTCTTCTCCCAGATCAGTCCCGGTCGAACCTGTGACATACCCGATCGGTGTCGAGTGCTTAAAAGGAGGACGTCGGACACAGTGGGGTGAGGGAGGGGATTTGGGGAGAGACCTGACAGCCCCTCACCACATCCTGGGACTGGTGTGGGGTGTGGAACCTGAATCAAGGACCGCTTTTAGGGGATTTTTTTTTTGCAGACCATTAGCGGCACTGGTTGGCATGCGGCAGAAATAAAGGATATTGATGCCCTGGAAAGAGCTCACAGAGGTGGAACAGGAATCATCTGTAGTCCAAACTAAAGAAAGTCAGACTAAACCGAATCTCTTTTGCAAACGGCACACACAAAAAACAACCTCTTAGTCTTTCCAGTTCTCCCAGCCAAACTGATTTCTTCCTGCTGTTTCAGGAAGTAGGGCAGGAAGTCGGCTTCAGCAGTGTGGCTGGGCTGCTTGTCCCCTTTGGGTGAAGGTGTCTCCCCCTGTTTTTGTCATTTTTCACAAACTGCACGGGGATTTCTTCAGATTCCAACGCCCGCTGAGGGAGGATATCTTTGAGCGACTGCTTCCGCAAAAACGGGGACCCAAAAAGAAATTAAGCAGAGCCGATTTCACAATAAGAACTCCGGAGTCACGTCGGAAACACACGGACGGCTGTGCTCAAGCCGACTCCCTGAGAGCTTACAACCGGATTTCGGGACGACACGGCTAGTAATTACCCAAATCAGCAGGACAGGGCAGAAGGAAAGCCTCCTGCCTGAGCCCTTCTGAGCTCAGGAGGTCTTACCTGTTCAGCCAGCAGGGCAGACTGAAGGATTTCCTGCTCCTTTTCCAGAAACCACTGGATGACTTTGGCCAAGTAACACGGATCCTCCTGAAAACCCTGTTTAAAAAAAAAATAGCTGGAGTCCTGTTTTGGTTCGAGACAGCACAAGGGCACAGAAATAGCTGGAGTCCTGCTCCGGTACGGGACAGCACAAGGACACAGACACAGCTGGGGTGCTGTGTTTCTCTCCTCTGAAATGCCTGATGCTGTAGAATTAACCTGCTTTTCATGTTGAGAACACACACGAACCTGCGGACACACTGACCCCCCAGGACCAGGACTGGACACCCTGCAGACACACTGACCCCCCAGGACCAGGACTGGACACCCTGCAGACACACTGACCCCCCCAGGACCAGGACTGGACACCCTGCAGACACACTGACCCCCCCAGGACCA